TTAAAAGCTTTTAAATACTAGAAAAGATGTTTTACTATACATATATTATTTGTAAAAATCGATTATATTACTATTCAGTTACTAGGTCAGAAACTTGCTCGTATAATAAAAAAGAAACGAAAGCTTTAACGTTTTTCGCAACTTGCCAATTAGTTTGTGACAAGAACGCAATTTGCATACTGTATGAGGTGTACAACGGTGTCGTCAGTCAGTCTAACTACCGGCAAAATGACCTGTTAATTGTTTTATATTGACAAAATTACGTCAGAATTATACCAACATTGACACGTACTTAAATGAATCAGAAAATGTTGAGAATCGTGAACAGAAATAATAAAGAAAAAAAAGCGCCGATTATGTGTAACATCTAAGCTTGGCAACGAGCAAAATTTTTGTGATAATATTGATTGATTTCACATATTTAGTAAATACTAAATAATCAGTAGATCCTTTTGCCTTTTATCCTTTTAAGGACCAAGTAATGGTAGCTGTTAGCATTGTAGATCGGTTAAAGTTTGAATAGTACGGACTTCTCCTTTTCGACTTCCTGTAACGCGCTTCCGTCGCATAAAATTAGATTCGTTCCGAAATATACTGGACAGTACGTTGGCGTCAAATTGACGCCATATTGAGAATAGTGTTTGTGGTTGTTTACAACAATTTTACTCCACAACATACTAAAGTTTCTTACAATAAAAAATTCCTTAAAGTTTGATGCACACATGCCCGTTTGGTATACTACTATACGCCACACTTGTCTCACCAGTACAACATGGTGGCACACCAGTACAATATGGCGTCGATTCATGATGTCATCTGCATTGGCCAGTATGCTAGGTTATATTTCGGAACACACCCGTTGTAAATAAAGTTAACTAAATTCACTCTGGTGATTGTGATCACAAATAATAGCATTAGAATTTGAAACAATTAGAATAGGAACAACAATAAAATTCAATTTTCACCTGTCGAACTCCATTATGGTTCTTTTCTGAATCTCATTACTACAATAATGGCTGATTCAATGTTACAATTGGTGCCTACCATTGTTAAACCTGCTAAACATGATGTAAAGAGTTGCAGAAGGCTTAAAAATTTAGTTTTGTGTTGCTATGGGTAGAAATAAACTATAAATTACACTATGATGTAACGGATTTTAAACAATCTAGTTTCGCTAATAAATATTTAAATAAATGACTGTTTATTTCACTATTTTCGCTAAACCATGTGTGAGGTAATCGGTGGAATTAAAACACCTCCGAAACATGTGTTGAAGATCCAAAGATAACTTGAATAAGGATTATTTTTACATTCGTATAAACATGAATAATTTATATACTTTCTCATAACGTATACTGTAGTAGATACCGAAATAAGCAAGCGGCATGTTTAGTACGCATGTTGGTACGCATTACGTGCGAACACGAGTGCGGGAAATCGCAATCGTGTTCGGGGTTTTTATAACTAATTAAATCCAAAAATATATCTTTCGTCGCTTGAATAATGAATAATCATTCGCAATGCATTGTATCGGGTGGTCCCCTTTTACCTTTTTTCGAATAGAAATTTAGTACGCGAGAAATTTTAGCAAGCAACTTCCTAGACCTCTAAAACCGAAATCATTTTTCCAAAATACGTTGCCTTGATTTGGAAGACTTCAGTCTATTTTTGATTAAAAGAGTAATGAGGTGTGTTCCTCTCATAAAGATAAGGCTTAAGGAATGGTCTTTAGAAGGGTAAAAACAATCCAAACTACGAACTGTTTAAACAATTATATTTGACTCCATCTGAGCCTTGTTGAATTGTTGATTCAAAAGTCTTCCTTCGTGAAATCCTTCAACTAAAATGAGACGTTGGTGTTGGTTTAGAAAATAGATACTTATTTCTTAGTTTTTTGGCTTTGATTCTGCAAGTTATGAGATATCTTTGATTGATTAATCGTTTCAATCCAAAACGTTAACTGGTCTATAATTGATCTAGATGTAGCAGGATCTATCCAAAGAACTGTGCCAATTTTTTTAGGAAAACAAACAACAATCTTTGTAATATGGATAATAAAAAGCTAATATTATAATTTTTATCTATTATTCGTTCTAAAAGTAGTTAAACGTAGGCCGAACTTTAATTATGATGTTAGTGTTAAATTTTGTTGAAATACGTCAATGTGTAGTAGATCTTTCAATAGAACATGCGACGTAAAATATTAAAATATAAATAATGTTCGACTAGTTATACCACAATTAGCTTCATGGTGTTTATTAATAAATGAAATGTTCGAAAATAATTTAATAGGCACTTACTAAACTTAAAGCAAGTGTTTTATTTTAATGTTATTTTAGAATCTTAAACACTTGGAGTGGACTAACGAAGTAATAGGAAAATTTGTTTCTAAAGTCTATGAGTTTTTTTTATTTGTAACGAAGAAAAAAATGCTTCTAACAAAATTAAAATTTAAATAATCTTGCTTCAAAAAAAGAAAATTTAACATGCAACCTAATGGAGGTATTTATCTTTCACTTTCACCATTTTTAGTAGTAGGTTTTCATCGTAAGCTTAATGGAATGCTTTTAATAATTGGAAAAACTAATTTTTCACAACTTTTTAATAAGCTTTCTTGCGGTTTGCAGGTCTTTTAATAAACAAAAACAAATTAAGATACATATTAATAAAACTTTCTCATAGAATAAAAAAAAGTTTGAAATGTTCACTAACATTTATTAGCTCCAAAAGGAATATTTTGAGAAAATTTAACGAAATATCTCATTTTCAAGCAGAATGCCTTTTATTTTCCATTTTCATTTGTAATTTATTCTGTTCATCGGTCTCTTTTTAAGTTTCCAAGTGTTTAGATTATTTTTGCGTTTATGGATTTCTGTTTAAATCCTGGAAGGGAAGAAATTCATAAAGGTGTTATTAAACTCCATATTGATAAGTAAGTGTAGCTACTCAAAAAAGAATATTAAAAGATCTTGATAAGGGCCAAAAAATTTTACTGAGCGAAACATCGATATCAAAATTCTAAATTATTATTTTTCATTATGTTTTCACCAATTTCACCTTTGGATTTTTAATTTTTGAATGAATTAGTGGAAGAAGATAAAACAGATGATTTATCTAGTTTAAGTTGATAAATGAATAGTACGGACCTCTGCTTCTCAACTTCCTGTAACGCGCTTCCGTCGCATAAAATTAGATTCGTTCCGAAATATACTGGACAGTACGTTGGCGTCAAATTGACGCCATATTGAGAATAGTGTTTGTGGTTGTTTACAACAATTTTACTCCACAACATACTAAAGTTTCTTACAATAAAAAATTCCTTAAAGTTTGATGCACACATGCCCGTTTGGTATACTACTATACGCCACACTTGTCTCACCAGTACAACATGGTGGCACACCAGTACAATATGGCGTCGATTCATGATGTCATCTGCATTGGCCAGTATGCTAGGTTATATTTCGGAACACACCCGTTGTAAATAAAGTTAACTAAATTCACTCTGGTGATTGTGATCACAAATAATAGCATTAGAATTTGAAACAATTAGAATAGGAACAACAATAAAATTCAATTTTCACCTGTCGAACTCCATTATGGTTCTTTTCTGAATCTCATTACTACAATAATGGCTGATTCAATGTTACAATTGGTGCCTACCATTGTTAAACCTGCTAAACATGATGTAAAGAGTTGCAGAAGGCTTAAAAATTTAGTTTTATGTTGCTATGGGTAGAAATAAACTATAAATTACACTATGATGTAACGGATTTTAAACAATCTAGTTTCGCTAATAAATATTTAAATAAATGACTGTTTATTTCACTATTTTCGCTAAACCATGTGTGAGGTAATCGGTGGAATTAAAACACCTCCGAAACATGTGTTGAAGATCCAAAGATAACTTGAATAAGGATTATTTTTACATTCGTATAAACATGAATAATTNTTGAACAAATTAATGTTTAAATTTCATTTTTGAAGTAATTAGAGATAGATTAACAGAAAGTTAAGTTAACAGTAATAGAGAATGAACTTACAAGTAATGATTCTAAATATGATTGCAAATCAGACATATAAAAAAGGCAATCTGTTATATATCTAAAGTTTTACATTTCGAAAACTAACATTTTATTTATGTAAATGATCGGAATAAAAATAAATTAACATATCCCGAGTCTGTCAACGAATAAAATAATTAATTTTCATTGCACTTCTAAAATTAATTAAATAGAAAAGGAAATGCTAATAATATAAACTGTTAGAAGGTTGTCTAACATGAATTTTACATTAACATTAACACCCACCAGTTCTTTTCCGATTCATGTTTATTTACCGTTGATGAATTCAAAAAATTCTCTGCGGAAATAATAGGATTTTAATGATCGTATAAATCTTCGATGAACTGACATGTCAGACTCAAACTGACTTGACTGTTTCAAGGATATGGAAAGGATTTTTACATTTTTTATTGCTTCGTCTTTCAATTTTGCAATTTGTCGTAGGATTGGGTTACTCAACAAAAGGGGCCTTAAAAAACCGTTTGAAAAATGCACAAACTAAAATAGTCATATCGCAATATTATTTGGATAGACAAAAACTAAAAGAAACTAACAAATATATGTATTATGGGTGAATTATTTCTATTGTAATTACACAATTCAATGAATAGTTTTATAATTATGGAAAAGTCTTTAAATGGTTTCTTACTTGATGTCTTTTAAGGTGTGAATTAAAGCGAATACAAATAGAAAAATAACTATAAAAATTGTTATGAATAAATTTGATCCTTACAATTTCAGGGACTTAACAAACAAAGCCTGGATATATCTAAAGCGAAAATAATTTTTGTAATTCATTGTTGTTTTATTGTAGAAGAATTTTGGTACGTACCAAACCGCTACTCTGATTTATTCTTAACTTAAATGTATTTGTTGACAACATTTTAATATTCCTTCAGGCGATTTTCGCCAATTGCAATAAAACTACTAAGTACTTACTCGAATAATCGAGATGATTCTTTTTGGCCACCATTGTTACCAGTTTATAGTTCACGCACTTTCACGCACGAAATTCTAAATAAGAAAAACAACTACAAGTGTCTAGAAATTTGTAGAAAGATTGGCTCGAAGTACTGATCGGTGTTTTTCCCCGAAGAACTTAGATCACTGTTCATTCACTGATATTTACCCAACGATTACCATCTCGTTTTCAACGCCTACCTATTTTCTGTGTAATTTGTACCATTTTGTAACCATGACTTTAAGGTGTATTAACCAACAACTAAAATTAAACTGGTGACGGATTATATTAATTACAAGTTAATATTGTACTTGTTTACAACTTTTTAATATCGAGAGTAACTTCATAACTGACTCAAAAAACTATTATGTGGTACCAGCGTTTGTCTCCGGCCAAGTACCTACTACTAACTTACTGATTAAGTTGCCGATGTTTTTTTTTTAATTGCAAACAAACCGAGTACAAGTCTAAGTACCTTACACACATGCATAAAGTTACGTGGGCTACCTTTGCTTATCTTTATGCTCGTGTTTCACCTGACCGTGTAAAAATGAGTGAGTACCATTAGCGGAATCGGGCGGTTAAAGTACTTCGGTACCACAACGCTGTAGATTTGTTTCTACGATTGCTACGGACATGTTAGTATTACGTTGGTTATTACGTGAATTTTCTTCAGTGGCAGGGTCCTGTCGGAGGATGACATCATCCTTGTGTTGACACTGCTTTATTACACACGCATAAAATTTTGTTGGGCGTTAATTTATTGTTTATTTAAGTTGTTATATGGGGACTTTATAATGTCATTAATTGGTTGTTTGGGTCGTGAAATATGCACTGCATACACATGTACGAAAATTTGAGGTCAGTACGAAATGGGATGAAGGGTGGGAACTTCTTAGACCTACTATGCGTAATAGTATTTCAGTACTGTTGGAAGATTCCTATAAAGTACCAAATTACCTGTTTGATGAACCTAATGTGTAAGGATTTTTGATATCTTTTCGACAAATATATAACTGTATTCTAGGTATTAATCCTGACGTCTCATCGTCATCATAAGGTCGTCAGTCCTAAGACTTGTAGGACACAATATGAAGATTGGAAAAACTTTGACGGTTGTTGTAGAACAAACAAAATAGCTCAAACCCCAACGCCAAAACACGACGCTGTAGTTGTCCGAAGCACTTTTCAGTTCTCAGTTCACTTCAGTCCCTGAAGAAGGTAACCTTGTTACCGAAAAGTGCTTCGGACAACTACAGTGTCGTGTTTTGGCGTTGGGGTTTGAGCTATTTTGTTTGTTCTATGGTTGGACACGCACTTCCACTCTTTCCTAACCTGAGCAAATCTTCGCATTTCCTTCCTAAAAGTACAACATCCCACATCCTTAACTATTTGTGAACAGTAAGGAAGATCGGGGAATGTCAAATAAATTAAAAAGAAACTTACATATTCTTTAACAAAAATTGAAGGCTATTTAATGACAATCGAGGAATCTTAAATTTAAATCAATTAATTTTGAACAAAAATCAAAGAATCTTAAACAGAAAGAAACTTGATTTGGTCATTCCTTTTACACGATGATTTGAGACACTTACTTCCGAAAGTCTTTTGAGTGTGTAATAAGTCTCGTAGTTAATTGGTGTAGGGCAAAAAGGGGAGTTTTTTCTCCTTTATCGGTTAGGTCTACCCCTACTCCTCTTAACTCCTGTTTCTGCTAGCCTTTCATGTCTGAGAAGGTGTCCTACCAACCTATCTCGTCTATTTCTTATTGACTTCCATATGTAGTGACCTCTGCTCTCACATTCTTCCTAAGCCCTCCTCATTTTTAACCTTCTCTATCCACAGTATCCTCACCAAAATTTTTTACCTTCCGTATATTATTCAAATAATACTTTTTCTAGACAGTTGGATAAGTACTTTTGGTAATTATTGAAATATTACAGTCTTAACGATTCAAAATTAGAAATGAACACGTTCAAAATTTCTTGCGAAGGGCATTACAAGGTGTCCAAGATTTAATTAGATATTCTCGTTTTCAAAATGATTTTGGCCCAAATCCGAAAAGCGTACGTTCAACTTTCTGGCTAATTCTGCTATACACAATACGCATATTTATAATTATGACTAAACAATTCAAAATCAAGGGCTTACAGTTACACTATTCAATCATACACTTACAGATTGTCAATTAATGACGAGGAATTGTAAATTACATCGTCAAGTGCAGTCAACGTATGCCACAATTTAATAACATAATCTAGTGTCCTAAATGTGAAAAAAAAATCGGTTGTCTGTAAAGTCGGTTTACTGACGATAGTTGAACGTGACAACGTCATATGAAAATACTGATGGAATGGTTTCATTTTTCAAAAGAAAATTTTAATTTTGTTTGATAGATATTTTGTATGGATATAGAGAAGGAGGTAAATGGAAATGTATTATTGTATAGCAGCTGTCCACGCGGACGCATCGCTCACTCAAGTAGGAGAGAGACAGATGTCGAACGCTGCCGAACGCGGAGGCCGATTGTG